GTGATCTCTATTTCTCTTATTTCATTTAAATATTTATAATCTTTTTTCTCATAGAACTAAATGTCAATCAATTTATATTTATTATCCTTGTCTCTCTATTAAATCAATAATTGTTAAAGCAATCCTATGCAATTAGTTTGAAAGACAGTATTGATTTGATAGTTGTTTAAATTAATGAGTGATACATTGTTTTCATCTTTAATAAAAGCAAAAGGATATATATCATAGTCATAATCAATTGCTGGATAGATATAACTATCACCATTTATAGGAATTTAATGTATTAATTATCTTTTGTAACATCTAATATCTTTATATGATACCTATAACGACTTGAAAGCATAGCAGCAATAACATTTTACTTAATTATCATCATTGAATGACAATTTTCACTATCTATCATTTTAGCTTATTCCTCTTAGAATTCATATTCAAATTAGCTCTTCATTGTTATTTTACCTATTATAATACCACCCTATGATGTAAAACCAAAGGCAAAAGTATACTCATCTTAATTTCGTTCAATTAAGCATATTTCATAAGATGCTTATTCTAAATAACTCAATAAAACCACTAAACTATCCAGTGATAAATAAATCATCATTCATTTTCTATATTTAAAAATAAGTCCACTACTCATATAAATATCTAATTAAACTTATAGTAAACTTTTTTCAAATCCTATTAGTTTACTTATTCATCATTAATCAAATAAGATCTTTAGAATTTCTTGTCTATAGCTCTATATTAACTATGTTGTTTTCCAAATTTAGCATAGGTTCCTGTGAAGCAGTAGTTTATTTAATCGTTTCTTATTTTAAATACCTTTAAATCTATTTTTCATAAATTTCGTTTTACTTTTAAATCTTAATTCTATGTTAATTAGTTATGTGAGACAAAAGCAAATTGTTATACTTTTATAAATCTGAGTTGTTTTCATCTATAAATTTCATTAAATCTTCTTTAAGTTATGTAGCTGTTGGTCTATTTTAAGGATTTAATTATATCATTTATTCAAGCATCTCCTAAAATTATGAGTGCTCGGCAGGCAATTCAATGCGTTTCTGATCTCTAACAAGGTTATTAACTGATTTCCCTTTAAAATATTTTTATCCGGTGCAAATGTAATACAATGTTATTCCAAGAGACCATATATCAATTGCTTTGTTGAGAATTTAATTTCCATAAATCAATTCAGGGGCCATATAATCAAATTTCCCAATATTAGAGTTAGTGTAGTCACCATATGATCAAAAATCTTAAATTTTGATAATTTAGTCTTTGAAAACTAAGATATTTTAAGGAGAGATATCTTTATGGATGAAGTTTTAATCATGAACGTATTCAAGACCATTTAGTATTTATAGAAGAATGATTGAAATCTCTTGATTAGTAAATTGTTGCTTTTTTTGGAATCACTTTTCCACATAACTTTCAAGGTCTTGTTGAGCCAATTCACTTATGATGATGAATTTGCTATCAGTTGAGATGTATGAGTCATAAATATCCTCAATATTCAGATGTTTAAGCTGAATAGAGGAAATTTCTCTCAAAAGTCGAAGAAGTTCTTTTGATAGTATACCTTTTGCTTCATTTGCTGATTCTTCTAACAATTCTAAATCACTATTTCCTTATACTGTTAGTGGTTTGTGCTTGCAAGTATCACATGACTGACAATGCTTACAGCGAGTACATAATTAGCATTATAAGCACTAATGCTGTCTAAGGATAGAATTCTTGATCGTTCCCAGCATTTAGTCTAAATCTTGTTACTTTAAGGCAACTAGTTTCTATTCTGGGTCTTCAAGATCTTCAGCTAAGTATACAGTTCCTTGGCCTCCAAATCCTAACCTCTAAAGTATATTGTATCTAGTAGATGTATCTTAAATTTTCAATGACACTAAAGTTTCCATTTTATCTTAACCTTAAGTTATTAAATACTATCCCTTAGCCAATGGAATAAAATTTATATACCTAATATTACCTTTCTATTTGATTTCATGGGGTTTTGGGGTTTTGGGGAGATCGG